TATATATATATGGTCCATATGAACAGACCGTGATCAAAGCCGAAAACGCTTTATTTTTCGTCTTAACTAACGCGTTTCAATAATCACCAAACGTTTAGGAAAAGCCAATTCCGTAAATCCATCTCTCAATTAATTTTCTTCCTCATTCAACTCGAGATAAAATTTTATGTGAAATTAGAAAATGATCCCATCATCGTTGATTAATATGTGCAGTCTTATTTTCTGACAACGTGTCAAAAAATGAAGGTGGGATCATATTCTGATTAAATTCATATGACTACATATATAAATTCAAATTACCGGAATTAGGGGCTGAAAAGATGATTAATTAAGTTTTTTAATTTTATTGTTTTTATTTTTAAAATTTTAATTTATTTTGATATTATTTTAGTAAATTTTTAATTTAATTTATTTTATTCCTCCTAAAATGTTTTTCTAACTTCGACGATAAAATATAAAAATACTAAAAGTTATTTTTTACATGAAAAATACTTTTTATATAATATTTTTGTATTATATTTTACAACTTAACGTGTCATTAAAATGATTTTTTTAATTTATATAAAATTTATGATAGTAAATATATTTACTCATTTAATAACATATAAAAATTATATAAAAAAATAAAATAAAAAATTTGTTTTTATAGCATTCCTTTTTTTACATCTGGCAATGATAGATACTTTCATATTCCCCTGATCTTTTTTCACCTAATTCAAAAGTTAAATTTAAGATCACAACTTAAAATCTTAAAATTTTAATTATTGAATCATCCTTTTAAAATATTTTGTAATAAGTTAGATCATATCAAATTATATAATATGAATATTTAAACCAAGGACCTTACCTCATGAAAAAATCTATATTTTACCATTTGATAGAGTAAAATCATGAAAATAAAACAAATTTATTATTATTATTGTTTAATTTTAAATTATATAATGAGAAACTAAACAAATAACTTCCATATTTTAACCCATCTCTCCAATGTATTCTTTAATTTTAATTTAAAATTTTTTATTTTTACCAAAAAAATTATTATTAAATTATTAAAATTATTAATTAACTCATTTTTATTTTCTTTTATTGTAAAAACACTGTAAAAAGTCATAGCTGTCAATTTATGTCAAAATAATTTTTACACGTGTACTTTAAATTTTCTTCTGTAGTATTCCATGGAAGAAATGAATAAATGCCAAGAACAGAACCAAAACCGTACCAAAGAAACCAAACAGAAAATGGAGAAATCTGAGAGACAGAACCAAACACAATTCCCAGGAACCAATCAGAAAATACAGAGGCCTGAGCAGAGAAAGCAGCATCTCCTCTGGGACTGCGGCAGCACACTCTATGATTCCTTCGAGCTCAACTCCTTCCAGCGCCAACTCGACTCCGCAATCCACTCCCGCACCATGTCCATGCCTCACTTCTCCGACGCCCGACCTCCGGTACCTCCCTCGCCCCCTGTCTCCAAGAAATCTTCCAAGATCTCCCGATCCTTCCAGAAGCTTTTCAAATCGATGTTCAAGTCGAAACAGAACTCCGGTCCGCTTTTCCGGTTACGCTCCAACGACGACGAGTACTACGTTTATGATAAGTCGGGCGCGCTGACGACGATTCCTGAGGTCCCGGAGATTGATTTTAGCAGACCTTCTCCGGAGATTAACTCGCTCGTCAGTAAAACCGCATCGGAGAGGTTCACGGCGCAGGCTGCGGCGTCAATTGGTATATCATGTGCTTAAATATGTAGAGCAAGGTAATAATAATCATGAGAACATATAAATAACGATGGATATGATTGTATAATTTATGCATACTTATGGTCTTAATTAGGATGTTTTGTGGCTTAAGTTTACGTCGCTTGGAGTTTTGAACTTTCGACTCTTAATTTCATGGTTTTTCTCAGTTTTAACATAATTATTGATTAGCCTTTTGATTTAGTTTCATAAATTAGGGATTAATTGCGGCAAAAATCTCTATCTACCTACTTCCATGACCTTTATATATTAGCAAATGTAGAAGCAACGATCCTGACTTTGAAGAAAAGATATGGCGGATTGATTAATCTGTAATCTTTGAATTTGCACTTGAAATTCTAGACTTTTAGTTGGTTTGGTTGAATGGTTTTTTTTTTTTCCATATAATTAAATTGGGGTTTTCCAAATCTGATTTCTAGAGTGTAATTGTAACTTTTTTTTTTTTTTTTGGAATCGGATTAATTGATGATGATTCATTTTGTTAATTATTTTATGTATCCTTCCACGCAAAGGCTGAAAATTTTCTCGGAAATTTTATGATTTTGAGGAAAAATGCTGGGTTTGGCTAAATTTTGAGGCTGAATTGAACCTACTTGATTTCTCTTGTTTTTTCTTTGGATTCTCTTTTCATACATTATTGTAGTATTATTTTTGGGACAATGATTAATATATATTTTGATTTAATACATTACAAAACATATTTATTGAAAAATTATTTTTTTTTAATTTGAAATTAAAGATAAATAAATTTAAAAATTCAATTATACACATAAAATATAAAAATTAATTGAATTAATTATATTTACATTATATTTTTAATAAT